GCAATGTTATCAAAACCTCTACAACTTTATTGTCATTTTTGGAATTGTAAATTTGGTTAAAACATATATATTAATAGTGTGGCTTTTGAAATAAAGTAAAGAATAATATAGTAAAGAATCCTATTAATAATCACTTTGTAGTCATTACAAGTGCGCGAGCGATGGTACCCAATGGATATTAATATTAGATGATAGATTGACAACTGATGGTGTATCTTTCGTCCTCTTTTTACTTATTATATTTTCATAAGAAGAAAGGAGGCAACCATATGATTTACAGTTTTTATTTTATCATTCCTTCCATAGAATACATATAATTTCTTGTTTTTAAGAAGGATTGTGTCGGATTGACGTCTGTCACATGACAGTTGAGGAGCGACAGCCGGTTCTCTATATAAAACCTTATCATTAACATTGTCTATGTCCTCTATTTAGATATCTATAATTTTAAAGGAGGAACTTAACAAACAGGACAAATAAAAGGAAAAAAAATTGAAACGCTATTCATACGCACAATGGCCCAAGTGAGAGGCTAAGCGCGGAAAATGGATTCTTTTTTTTTCACATTAAAACGCTAATTTTTCAACAACAAATATTTTTTTTTCTTTTATTTACGACTAGCATCTGCCTGTAACGTTATAAGCTTGGTTTTTCTAAAGTAAGTAACCACTTCAAGATGCTGTAACCAAAATTTTAAGTTAAACCTTCCGGAACACCGGAACCGAAATAAACAACAGATAGACAAAGTTTCAAAAAATTAATGTTTTATATTCTGTTCCTATTGAGACCTCTCCTCCCTTCCCGATGTTATTTTTTCTAAATATATCTTATGTACAGACAGCGTTTAGTTACAATTTTATTATAATAGTAACATTAATAGTATCCCTTTATGGGATAAGTTCACCGTTGTGTATTTAATCATTTAATGTATTCAATATGAATTATGTACAATAAAGATTTTACAATACAATAAGATAGTACAGAACCATCAATGCGCCAATCCAACTCGCACTTGACCAATTTTTGTCCATCACACACAATGTAATCTGTAAGTAGGTGAATATGCGGGTACAATTCGAACAATCGATCGAGCTAGTGATTAAAGCACATGTCAAGGACTAGAAAAGACAATGATGTGTACACCAATAAGAAAGTTGGTTTAAGAGCAGGGTTGCCATCTCTAAAAGTTGATAGATAACCAGGACAAGACGTGTGACAACCCCGAATTTGAGAGCCACATGCGTACGTCGCGAGCGGCCCAAGACTTTAAATTTTTAAATCCGGACTAACTTCGTTCGGACACTCCTGGATGCCCTCTAAACTTGGACAAATCCGGAGAAACCGGGCGGATGGCAACCCTATTTAAAAGTAACCCACTCTAATAAATACAATCGACCTTGATTCATCTACAGATAAAAAAAATAAGTATGTTAATAAGGAACCACTTATGACCGTATCATGAAGGAGAAAGTGGCATTACTCTTATTCCTTCCTATGATTTTATAAATACCTTCGAAGGGACTTCAACACAATTATGAAATTTTACTAAATATGATAAACTGTAACTAGATAATATCTGTGTAAGATTTGTTAAATATCTCCCTTTAATTTGAAGTAAGTTTTCTCAAATGTCTCCCTTGGTAAAACGAGGGAGACATTTAAGAAAAAGTTATATGAGGAGTCTTATTAATTAAGAACAAAAGAAACCAAAACAATAGATTTATTATAGAATTATAGAAATTTTATCTATCTATCGGTCTCTCTATATGTTTTATCCAGCATTACGCAAAAGCTATATATATATATATATATATATATATATATATATATATATATATATATATATATATATATATATATATATATATATATATATATATATATATATATATATATATATACATATTTATACATATTTGTATAGACACATAACATCTATAACTCTTCCATTTCTCTTCACCGATGAGTGAAAAGTGAAAATAGTTTGTCATAAACATCATGGCACGTCGCTCCTTATCTTCGGATAATGTTTAGTTTGACTGACACTATCAGGTCCATAACATCATCGTATACAACTATTTTAAGTATTTCACGTCGTACACTATCATTGCTGCTCCATTTACACATTGCTTACTTGATTGATTTATATCTTACAAACATAATTAAAGTTATATTTATATTAATTTACAAACAATTCCATTTAAATATTTGCTCCTAGAATTGTTATGAATTTGGTTATTCGATTAAAATCATTTTTGTTTAATTCTGCTACCATCGGTGTGTGTGCGATTGCGGAATTAAACAAAATAATTCTAATAATAAATTTTATAATTAAAAATATAATTACAACCTAGTTCAATAAAATATTTATTTGTCTACCAAACATTTTAACGTTTAGTAATCCACTCCTTCCCACTTGTAGGGGTGACAACCTCAAATGCATTGCAGGGAGTCAAATACAGTAGGTGGCTCAGCTTCCTTACGGCAGTTTAAGGGAAAAGGGATTGTTAGTAATTGGGGCTAACTGACTCATTGCTAGCAATACACCCTAGCATGTCGACCTCCACGCGGTTCCCCCTGGAAACCATCGTGATTAATTCTAATGGAATTCGTCACGATGGGCTAGCTGACCTGCTTACATCGTTATCTATCACCCCTTACTGGTGCCCCTCCAGAGTATACCGATAGCTCAGACGGGGTTACCATTCCATTATTACCCATTAAAAAAGGAGGCAGGCCTATGTTCAACAGTGGACAGATAGAGGTTGATGTAATTATGATCCAATTTTTATGCATCTAATACTTTATAGGTCCAAATCTACCAGAGGAAGACTTTGTACTAAAATCGTTTGCTTGGGTACCTCTGTCGCATTCGTGTTTTAACCGTAAAGCAGTTGTGTTTGCTGTGTTTCGGTTTGAAGGGTGGGATATGGTAGTGAATTTACAGCGTACAGAGGAATAACACCTGAGTCCTCGGAAAGACATCGCATGGGGGGTATCATGGGCGAAACAGTATACTCTGTTATGTCCATGGTACCGCTCATGTCTATAGGCGACGGTTACCACTTTCCACCAGGTGGGCCGTCAGCTTGAGTGCCATTCTAAGTTGTATAAAATACTATCTATATTTACACGTTCTATGTATTTAACTTATACTTCCTTCGTTACTTACTTCGTTCACGTCTACCGCCTCCTCCATTCTGTAGCTTCTGGCAACATGTGCAACTTCCTTTCGTTGTTTTGTTTGTGCACATGTGGCAGTTTACAATCTGATGCTATACACAAAACCCATTGTGGATTTAGAGGTGTAACTAACGACTTCAGTGTTTGAGGTCCCATGTTCAATTCAACCAAATATATGCTGTTACTCTGTTTAGTTGATGATTATTATTTAAAATACCATCCAGTTTAGTAAAATATCTGCTATATTTTATATTTATATTCTTTATTGTATATTTATATTATTTATTTATATACTTGAACATAAGATACAGCGATTAGTTTAACAACATGTTAGCAAGGGTGGGCTTATCTCTAAAAGAGATCTCTTCCAGCCAACCCAGTGCAGTTAGAGAGAAAATAATTAATTGACGGGTAATCTAGTACAGGAAAGGTACAGGTAAAAATAATGTAAATTTTCAATATGGCTTTAATTTGAGATGGCTTTGATATTTGATAAACATGAAGTCTACATAAAATACGCAATTTAAAAGGTTGAAGTAATATACTAAGAACTTACTCTACTAAGAATCTAATAAAAAAACAATGTTTCGTAACAATAACTGATGTTACATTTATATTATTGCTTCATTTTAAATTATTGCTTCGAGACCATAATTTAAAAGCAATACAATAATAATTAGTTCAATTAATTGTTAACCTAATTTATTAACATATTTTTGGGCTGATGTCATTTATATTTCTTTCAATAATCTAATATTAGCAATTTTGAAATTATCCTTCATGATGACAGATGTTCCATTTTTAAAAATAGCTACATGTTGTGGTTTGTTAGAATCAAAATAACAACCATAGAGATAATGTATTCTTTTAAACTTCTGACCACTAAGATTGACGCCTATTATCTGAGTATGAGACAGTTGATGGTCATTAGTACATACATGTGTATGTGTATATATGTAATGTATATGTAAATAAAGTCAGTATATTCAAGTGACAACAAAATTATCTATGATTCATTAACATAATTATCTATTACATATAGATCAAATAAGGTTTTTATCTCGAATTTTTGCGTCTAGCTTTTTGTTATAGCAGAATATTTATGGCTTTACAAATCAGTGAACTAATGTATGCATATAACCATATGGTTAGCCATAAACTTAGTACTATAATTATCTAGTAATCCTGATCCTTAAGGGCGGACTTTAAATTTGCGCAACGAATCTACCATCGACCCGTTAATTAGTAAAGCCGGTGTGCTAATTCACTTGAACCTTGAATTTTTTATAGGTATTTGTAGATTTCATCTCAAATTTACAAACAGTGTTAAGACGCCGTTAAACCAACAAATCTTAAGTGTTATTTTCCTGTTCTCAATTATATCAGTTACGTCCTTATATATATATATTATAGATATGAAAGTTTTTTTTTTTTTATTTATTTGTAACTTTTTGGAATCATGCAAATTGCTATACAGAAAGTAAATTTAATGAATAAAAATAGGTAACGGCATTTTTTTTCTTAGTCAATCAACATAGCATGAAAACGATATGTAACATACATACAAGTGAATATTAAATTTATAAATACTGGTAAACAGAGGCCAAATAATTATACTAACTAAAATAATAGTAATTGATTAAAACTGTAAATAAATACATATGAAAAGATATAACGCGTATGGTGATCTTTATCTATGCCAAAAATGGAAAAGTCATGATTCGAAGAAATTAATAAGGAAATTTACAATGCTATATCAGAATAGGAGAATGATTTTTGATAAAGTTTATCTACTCGCTACACAGTTATGTTTCTTACACTTTTTATGGTAATAAATTAACTGAAATAATATAAAACTTCAATCCACATTATTTAAGTACCAAAAGGTTGAGAACAAATACCAAATGAAGGGAGCAACAGTAAAAAATATCACAAAAACTAGAAGCCGCTTTGGGGCTATTGGGCACAAATGCATAACACCGCCATTCATAAGTGAGGAAACGAGACGAACTGGTGGACAGGAGAAAACGTCTGCAAGCACGAGAGAGTGAGGGAGATTGCATTCCAAAGAAGCATTATGTCGGTGCGCCCGCGCAGTCCTCGGCACGCCGGACCGCCGCTCACTGAATCCGACGCAGCGTAACCGAGAGCCCGCGTGTCGCTGCTCACGCGCAGTTGCCTCTCGTGACAACACTACATATTATACAGGGAATTCTGCAATCGATAATTCAACGATCAGTGCCGGTGACGTCACAGTGCCCGTTCCCATAGTGATCGATCAGTGAAGTGCTTATGTGTGCGCTGGACTATAGAAGAACCGAAGATACTTTCACTGGGCTGAAAGTTGCAAATTATTCTTTCGGAGAACTTCTTTCAAACGGAAACTGTTGATGTGCAAACAGCGATCAGGTATGCATTGAAATCGCGTACTACTTCCTACCTATACATATGTTTAAAATAAAACATTAACAAATAAATACAACATTAATAAATAAAACATTAATTTATTTATACGTCTAATATTTTAAAATATACTTCCTATTTCTTTTGAGTGAAAGTCGCATTGTAGTTGATTTTGGTCATTCCAGAAATTAGATAAAAACTGAAAAAACCGGAATCCGGCGTGAGAGGACCACAATCGTTAAAATATTAGTCACGATTGTTGTGACCTAGAATAATGTATAAATCATTAATTCTCAACGCTATTATTTAAATTTTAAAATATACAAAATCTTATTTTTTATGTACGTGTATGTATAGCACTTAAGAGTCATATCTGTAGGTAGATATAATAGAAATTACTTAGAAATTCTTTTTTCAATTGCTAGATCCTCCAGATTTGAATCCATTGAGGTCAAAGTTGAGATTAGATGGTTTAACAACATTGATTTCAATTTCTCTCATTGTCCTAAAAAAAAGTGGAATAATATCGGCCATTGTTTTTGGAGTCCAATTTATTTTATTCACAAAAACACATAGCAATATGGCCGTAGTATTAGAAATTATTCATAAACAAACACTTTATCGTCATATAAATTTAAATGCGGCCATAAATATTCCAAAAATTCATCATACCCCACGGAGAAATTTGGACTATAAACCTAATGCTGTTTTAATAATGTTACGCTTTCATGATTAGTGGTAAACAGTGCGTTTAATACAACACCATTGGACTATCTTCAAAACTATAAAATCTTAGTAGATAATAATTTGGCAGTGCTATGATCAGTTTTTTAGTTTGTAGTCTCAATTTATGAACTGCTATGGATATAGAATTGTGCTTATCTCAAATGTATTTATCTTGTTTCGTTATCTAACATTTGACAGATGTAGGGACAGATCTAACTTGACTATACCTATTAGATAAGATATAAGGGGAGGCAGCGGATTGCTTTTATTTTAGTTGATAATTTTGTAATATAAAAGAGTTAATTTTAAACTTTCCCGCTGTTAATACAATTTATTTGCATTTTTCATCGCGTTAAGTCCTGATAGTGTATTTAAAATATTAGACAATTCATCGAAATATTGAATTGAATAATCGATAATATTGTCAACACTAATCACAGACCTACAAATACGTATTAATATCAAATGAGATGAAGTACATTAATTGACATGAAATTGTATTTGACACATAGTTTTTTTAAAAAGAATTGTTGACATTGTTTATTTAACGTTTAAATTTTGCATGCTTAGGCATGCAAAATTTAAAAGTGCAAAAGTGCAAAATTTATAAGTATTCATTCATTCATCGAACAATGAAACAATATAAATGCCTACCAAATTAAATAGGTACGTTCCAAAATCTAATGGTACTTTAGAAAAAAAATTCAAAAATAATTTACTATATTTTTTTTAAGATTTACCGCCAAGCCATTTCTTTGGCCATAGACAAGTTTATTAATGTCATTATATTAGTCACTGGATTTTTAAATATAGAACGCAATGTTCTTTTACAAATTGATTTAGATAATTTAAATTTAATCGCAAATATAATTATCGATTACGAATTTACAGAATCGTCAGTCACGTTTCGCAATGTGCTTCAAAACTTTTTCTGCGTAAACTTCTAAACGTATACCGTTATGTCCAGCTGTGGTGAACCACAGTATCTCATTTCTGTTTTGCATGTCATTGTAATATCCGTGAATGCATAATGCCAAATTTGTGATCTTGAATTTTTGACACGGTCATCTCATTTTGTTTTTTTTTTTAAACAAAATAAAAATATACACCAACCACATTCCAGGGAGAAAAAAGGGATTATTAATAATTGGGACTAGCGGCCCCATTGCTAGCAACCCTATCAGGTCAACCTCCACGCGGAACGCACCTGAAAACCATCTTGGTTAATTCTTTATGATTTGTCACTATAAACCACTTGACCTGCTTTCTTCCTCACATATTATGTTTCACTGGTGTCCTGCCAGCGTATACCAATAGCGGAGGCAAGGTTACCATTACATTATAATCTATTGCAAAAAAATAATTCACTTATTTTTATTTGTACACTTGTACAACAATTAGTCCATTACCTTAAGGTTGTCTTGAAAAGATTGATCTCAGCAATAAGACCACCTTACTGTACTTATACAATTGTATCGTTGTGTTTGTAAATTGTCTTGCTTATTTCCTATATTGTATAATGCAAATAAAGTATACTCATTCATTCATTTGTTTCGCTATCTCGCACTAACATAATTATGTTACTACATTTTTTCTCTTTTACATCACCAATCAATATATTTTTTACCAATTTTTATCTATTTGATTCATTTAATTACACTAACTAATTAACTATTTCCTAATAACTGTTTATTAAATTGTTCACATGCGGTAGGACGTTAGGAATCTCTAATAAAAATTTTTAAAGCACCTCAATAAATTGATAGTATCATTTTATATTGTAGTCGCTCGTTATAGTGAGAATATAACTTTAGAGAAGGCATAAAGAAGATTTAATTCTGTAGTTTGCTTAATAAGTGGGACACTCGTAAAGGAACTGTTTAATAATTATTACTTCATATTTATATAACTTTAACAGCGGTCATTAATATTTAAATACGTCTACAAAATATATATATATATATATATATTCATATTTTACTAAAGATATATCACTATGTATTTATAATTATTTACTTATTACGTTATTAATATCTATTTAATTACTTTTTGCTTCCTTAAAATTAACATCTTCAGTTTATATCTTCTTTTTTATTTTACTCTAACACGATTTCTTAAATGTAATGTAACAATATTTGAGGCCTATAAAATCAAAGACAACTGAATGCCATAAAATCGATTTCATTTTCACTCTGTATACACTCAAATAAAAAAGAAGTTCTATTAATTAAAATTCAAATTATTACTGATATTCTATTTTTTTTTTAATTTAGTTTAAAATATAGAATATCGTTCTATATCCAAAATATTAGATTTTGTAGTTTCCTGAACATTAGACAGATTTGGATTTAGCTGTCTTTGATTTTATAGGACTCATTTGTACTTAGTAGTAAATGCACCGCCTAACTATTAAACTGTTTATTAATTAATTTTACAATATGAATATAAATAATTATAAACTACAGAATATATTAAATAACTATATAATACTAATAACAATTACGATATGAATAGATACACACCAATACTTAAATAATGAATAATAATAATAAGAAAATACGTTCCTATCGCGATACAATTTTAATGACTGGATAATATTGTAACAGATCCTTAGACTATTTATAAAGTAAAAGAAGTGTTGTCCTTCTCTCTCCTACTTGCTGTGCCCAACAGGGTCCATAATTGAAATGTTATCTACAAATTATATTATGGAATGCAATAAGAAATAAATAAATAAATAATCTTCTGCTTGCCTTATGGTTGAATGGTAGAAAACGCCATTGGGTATTAATTTTGCTATATTTATAATTACTTACATAATTGTGCATTGAAATTTAAATAAATAAAAAAATTCTTAAAAGCAACGCTAATTTATTAATTAGCGTTCTTATTTTTTTTTTTTTTGCAATAATTTACATAATTGTATACATTCGTCATCAATTAAATGTTGCATAAACAAATTAAAGAATCTATTAGAAAGCATAGCATGTCATTTAGAATGTTACAATTTATTCACGTCTTTAAATGACACATAGATTTCAATTACAAAGCGTTCAACTACTTTAGTTAATTAAAATACTTTAGTAATGAAAATTAAGTACTTCGCCTATCAAAGTAGACTGCCAATTTACCACAGATAAGGTTTTAAACTTGTTATAAAATTTATATTAGACCTCAAAGCCGGAAATTTATTGAAATTACCACAGATTAATAATACAGATTAATAATAGTATTTCCCATGTAAAGAGTAGTCCTTAATCTTTGACATCAAGTATTCTTATTTTTTATTTTTTTATTTACACCATGGGTTAATTCTATAAAGATCATAGATTTATATACGTTGCAGTCAAAACTCTTAACCAGTCCAAAGTAATATTGACTAGCAAAATCAGTCAAAAGTGTTTTTGACTGAAAATTATTGGTTATTAGTACTTTTGACTGGTTAGGAGTTTTGACTGCAACATATACAAGGGACTCAATTAGTTAACATCTGCTATATTTTACCCACAAGTACTCTCTTTAATCTACAATTCTTCCTGTATCGACATAAACATATCTTTTTAAAATCCTCTGTATATCGTTGCGTATATAAATTATTACAAAATTGTTTTCTTTTTGACCTTTTACAATATTCATCCAATTTTGATGCCAGTATATTAAATAACAAACTTCGTCTTTTAAAAATCTAGTTTATTCAAATATATTGATTATTAAATAAACCGAGTATTTCTGTAAAAGATGTTTAAAATAATTAAGTAAGTAAGAAAATATCTAAATCGATTTTTGGTGCTAACTGTACCTAACTGTAACTGTGAAAAAAACAATTACATTTGCCTTATTCATACGTACAGACAGCAAATAAGTAGTAATAATACGGTATGATTGGTATGCACTCAGCTATATCAGTCTATTTACATAAACGCGCGACTATGTACATAGACAAGCACTTACAACACTACAAGCTAATTCAAACATAAATTCCACGAGTTTGCGTCGATAACTCAAATGTTTGGATAATTTATCAGAGGACAGTCAGATATTACGACAGAGTCAAACGCCGGAAGTAAGTGCATCGTCGGTCAAGTGAATTGGTCTTGTAAGCAATATGTTATCTAATTACTATTATAAAATCGTACATATATGTCTAATATGTAAAATGTAATTATGCAAATTAATATCGTCATAAAGTAAACCGATTAAAAATCTATTTCAGGCTCATTTGAATTTCGCGTGAGATTTTTAATTTGCAACTTACGCAACGACAGTTTTATAGAAGAAAT